ATTACCTTTAATTCAAGCTTTAGAAACATCGTTGGTTATAAGTTATGTAGAATATTGGGAATCAAGTGTTTTTTTCAGATGAAGTTACATTAAATTGTTCAACAATACCTTGTGTCCTATGAGAATTGACAGATTTTAACACCATGTTTTTTCATACAATTGCCCTTAAACTCACCTCTCCGATCTACCTGAAGAACATGTGGCAACACACATTTGCCAAAACCAAGCTATAAGTTATTTTTTGTGAAATTATTAATGTATATTTGTGTGGTTAATAAATTTAGAATGTCTGAATTTTTGGGTCAAATGTAAATTGAAAAACTGTAAAACTGAATTTTCAGTTCAGTTTCAGATTGGAGCATCACAAAATTTAGCCAATGAAATCAAATGTCCATTATGCTTTCCTATTCATAGACTACGAATCGTCAAATTATTTTAGTAAATTCGGTAAACTTGCAAATCCTCCACAACATGACATATCAACAAGATGAAATCATAACTTTGTAGAGAAAGGTCTTGCTTCAAAAACGCTTATTTTTTGGTGCTACATTTCCATTTTTGGAATATTGAAGTATCTACACGACCAATAAAAAGTTACAGGACTAAGTGACTTGCACTGTAGTCGGACAATAATTTTATGGTTCCATCTGGCATCTATGCGAATGCGATAATTACAAAATCACATCATCAAATTGCTTTATCTAAACTTTTTAACATTATATTAATTAGTCAATGACGGAATGAAAAAAAGAGAAAGACTCATCATCATATTACTATCATCTAATTGATAGATATTAATAATCATTATTTTTTCGTTTATTTAATTTAAATAAAAAACTTACAGAGAGATAAAGTTTATATAGGGGTATATATACGTATGTATACGAATGAAATAAACATGGTGGTGGTTCCGAAAAACCCTTCTTTTTTGAAAGTAGGTTGTCCCAAAAGAAGAGTTTGCAGAATTATACGAATCATTTCAAGCTCTTCCTCGATTAGAACAAAACATCTCAGCTCACAGAAATGGATGATTGGGTAGTAAATATGAGCAGGTGCCTCAAAACTCAAAAAGAAAGTTTGCGTCAATAAAAGAACTGAAGAATTAGCAAAGCTCGCTTTGAAAATATCAGAATCATCTGATAATTAATCAAGAGTTCATGGTAATATTAAAAGGATGCCTTCTGTACATTATTTATTTTACTGGTGTTAGGAATATAATATTTCTATTTGTTAGAATTTACAATTTTGTTATCATCATCGTCGCCATCATCATTATTAGTTTTAATTTCTTATGAATCTTTAACTCGTTATTCATTATTAGTAGTGATATTATTATCATCATAATTATCATAATTATCATTACCACCGGTATTATTATCTTTACTATCATTATTATTATCTTTGTCATTATCATTATCATTATCTTTAGTAAGAGTAATATTACTATTGTTAATATTATTATCTTTGGCATTTTCATCATCATCATCATTTGTTATTAGTTTCTTGTGAATCTTTAATTTGCTCTTTATTATTGTCATTAGTAGTAATAATAGTAATATTATTATCATTGTAGCTATCGTCATTATCATCATTATCATTATCACTGGTATTATTATCTTTAGTAAGTGCAATATTACTATCATCAATATTATTATCTTTGACATTATAATCATTATAATCATCATCATTAGTTTCTTGCGAATCTTTAACTTGCTCTTTATTATTGTTATTAGTAGTGATATTATTATCATCGTAATTATCATCAATATCATCATTATCATTATCACTGGTATTATTATCATTAATATCTTTGTCATTATCTTTAGTAACAGCATCGTTGTCATCGTTATCATCATCACCACCACCATCATCATCATCATCATCATTGTCGCCGTTATCCTCATCATCATCATCAACGGTATTATCATTATCACTGGTATTATTATATTTAGTAACAGCAATATTACTATCATTCATATTATTATTATCATTATTATTATCATTACTAATAGTATTGGTGGCAGTAGTAATATTGGTGGATAAAGTGAGTATTGGCAAGAAATCCTTAAGAATGTCAATGATTTTTGATTGATCAATCAACATCAACTCATTGTCAAGATTTTCCTCATAATTACCACAACCATTGTCATTATTACCAATCAACAATCCACCATAAACTCCATCACATAAACATCTAGTAATAAACGGTACAAAACTTTGAGCAAATGTTGCATTGAATCCTTGTAAAATTGTGGTGTCATGTTTATGTTCAACAAGTAAATATCCATAATCTCTTAGTAATTTTGCAATCGATAAAAGATTTTGATTGATGAATTCACCCAACGGTTTAAACAATGAAATTGGTGCAACTAGACGTAAAGAATTAAAAGCCGATAAATATGAGTTGGTGAGATGTGCTATTGGGGGATAATCTAATAATATAACTAATGGTGTGAATGACGACAAAGATGAAGATGAAGATAGTGAAGAGGTTGGCGATATGCTGGTAGTTTTTAATGATGAACCCGATAAACTTGTGAATTTCTTATCGCTTATCATCCATAAACTTGGCAAATCAACATTTTTTATTGCTTGATTCAAATCATCCAAGAAATCTTGGGTACCCTCAAAAATCATTTTTCTAATAATTTTATCGACTGCGCTCTCGAAATAACCTGATACAAGGTGGCGAAAATCAATACCAACTCTACCGAATGACATTCCACAATACATCAATTGAGTTAGTATCGAGGAAAGTGATGAAGTGTCATATATTTGAGCTGTGAATTCATCTAGAACGAATGTTAATTGTTCAAGAATATAAACAGTATAATCCGAGATAGTAGTTGTAGTAATATTAGCAGCTGCCATGATCCCTTTTTTGATGAAGTATTTTTCTGGTAGCGTGTTAGTTAGATATGGAGATGATGATAATACCCAAGGTGTTGAAGGTGTTGGAGGTATTGAAAATGATGAGGAATAGAATGGCGTTGTGGGATAAGAACCGCCACCACCACCATTACTATCCTCAGAAAATATTGCACGATATTGTGTTACTATATCAAAAAAATGTTCTCTAAATACATCAATATATTTTTTTAAATAAAAGACGGGATCTTTCTTTTCTTTATCTAATTCATGAATCAATGATTGTAAATAGGCATCTCTAGAAAGTAGAAATACAAGATGTAGCTCAGCCTCATCAAATATATCCATACGTCTCAAGTACCCAATAATTTTTAAACACACAGGAAGCTTGATTGGTTTACTTAATAGCTTAATAAGTTTTGTTAACATCAATTGCATTGTATTTTTAACATCGTTATCAATCTGTTGAATTAAAGAGATTGATGGATATTTTGAGATTAATCTTGTTACGTGTACAGAAAGATCCATTGCTTCTGAGTAAAGTCCATTCCTGACACAAGCATCCATCAATTTAGGAATTTCCATGATTTCTAATAGATTATTATGATTTTCAAGAATTATATTGATTTTATTATTTTGTTGAGTGAATTGTTTTAGTTCTTGAAGAAATGGATTACAAGAATTTTGAATATTGGGCAAATTTGAAACTAAATTGTTTAAATGTAAAGATAAATTGTCAAGTGAATTGTTTATTGTTTGCAAGTTATTGTTTGCATTACTAAATGATTTATATTCATGAAAAGATAATTCAGCCAATTCTTTTTGGTATTTAAGTTTTTCATCTTGAACAAGTATTTGTTCATGTGTATATGTTGTAGAAGGTGAATCAATTGAGGAAATAAAATCAAATTCATGAACTGCTGAATTATTATCCATATCTTTGAAATTTTAGAAAATATCATTACATATTAATATATAAAATAGAAAATCTGACTCGTGTAACCAATCAGATTTTAAAATTTAAACATCATTATCAATCAAAAATAAAACTATGACATTATAGTTTTTTAATGAACCCTCTCCCATATTTATAGAGGCTATATATGTTAAGCTATACTTATTCAAAAACAGCATTACTTTTTACTTCAAAACTAAGATTTTTTACCAATATTACCTTTATAAACTTGGTGAGTGGTTGAAAAGATGTAAGTTTTCATATAGGTAGGTATAGCTTTATGTGGATTGTTGTTTATTAAAGTTTAATGAATATCAAATAGTTATTTTTTCGATTATTATAATAATTATTAAATTTTGCATATTTCGATAAGTCGGATCTCTCGATAAAGTCGGATGATCATGCCCAGCCACTCGTGTCCGACTTATCGAGCTTGCCTATGTATTAAGTAACAAAATAATTAATGATTACACGGAGGATTGTTATAGGGGTTTCTTGTGATATTAGGTCTGGATCACCACTATTAATTTTAAATTATAATATAACATACATAATAATATATTGTAATCATAAGGTTACAAAAAAAACTTGTAAAGTCAAAGTAGTTTCTCCATCATTAATAAACTTGCATCCCTTAATGATTAATCGGCTATTGATAGCTGATAAATTTTTCTGATATAAATTTTCCCTAAGCATATCGCTTCCTAATATGAAATGATCTATGAGATTATAACCTTTCTTTAAAAGTTGGTCGATTGACTATTTTTACTTTGCTGATCGTTAAATTGACCAATAAGAATGTGAGTTCGTGATTTTGTGTTACAATTAAAGAATGACCGTTTTAAAATAATTTTTATTAATACAACCTATTTTATTCCATCACTACTGACACTACTAGTTTAGATAACTTAAAACATTGTGTTCTTAGTAACAAAGTTAATTCTTCATAATGTCAAGGTAAAGGAGCAAAAAAAAGCTCATGATCATGAAATAAACATAAATGTGTATTTATGTGTCTATGTACATTAATTAATATTTAAAAAGTTTTTTGATGAAAATAGTTTATTATAATATAAAATTTGTAATATCTTTTTTTAGATTACACACAGGCCTTTTGTTTTCTTGAAAATATAAATTACTATATACAGCTATAATAACTGTTGTTAATTACACTGATTTATTTATCAAGAGATACTATTCTCATATTCTTAAACCTGTATTCTACTTCTTCGGTCTCATCTTGGAATGTCGATGATATAAAGGATGAGTCATTTAATAATTGATTGTAATCAATCGTATTTTTTGAATATATTTCATATCCAATGGCATAACTATTAATATTATTGTTGCTGTTTTTGTTGCTATTATTATTGCTGTTGTTGTTATTGTTATTAGTTTCTAGTATCATACTATGAGTAGGAGCTTCTTGTTTTTTTGAATTACGTTTTGATTTTTTTTTATTTTTAGATTTTTGTTTAGTTATGTAATGATGAATTTTATGATGTTGGTTATTACTGTGACATTTATTAATATGATGCTTCTGTTGCTGGTCTTCAATATCATCGCCTATTTCAACGTTTTTAAAATTTGTTAAATATGGACTATGTTTATGATATCTTCTAGTATGCCTCGCTTTACCACCAATAGTTTTATATTGATTTGTGGTCTTTGAACCTATACTTCGTGTACCTGAGTAAACACCCCAATACATTGCTTCATCAATACCTATTGATTGATTAGTTGATCAATAATAATAGTGATGATAATAATACTAATATATTATATTACATGTATTAATGCCCTCTCCATTATCAGAGCATCATAATAACAATAATAGTAGTAGTAATAATAAATAACTAACCATCAAGGACACGAAGAATTACAGTTTCAGTACCAACTTTCAAACCACCCTTTGCCATAATATGCGCAGCAACTTCTTTTGCCATTTGTGAATTTAAATGAACATAACCCGTAGTGTCATCTCGTCGATAGTCGACAGAAACTTTAAGATCATGAGCTTCAAAACTTTTCTAAGATATCAAAGGCCATGTTTTGTTTCTATTAATAAATATATTTTAGAGCTTTTTCATTATCAAATTATGTTTTAAATTCTAACCTTTATTAGGCCAGGAGTACTATTAGGATCTAAACCAATAAGCATTATAACTCGGTTTGTAAGTTTAAATGTTTGTTGTCCACTATTCCATATAATTTTTGGTGGACTTGCTGTATTATTATTATTATTATTATTATTACTATATACTTCAAGTTTTGTTTGTCGGTTATCCATCAAATTTGCTTTGTGGTTTGTGGTTAACAAATACAAGTAATTTTGCAGAGTAAAGATGGAATTTGCAAAATATCGTGTTTTGATCAACGCTACTTTTTAAACTTAATTTCCGCCTTTGGCTCTCGATTGAATTACTTAGTAATAGTAATCCCACGCGATTGACTGTTAGAAATTTTGTACAACATATCAAATAAAATCAAACATCCACATGAATTTTTTAACCAGAAATGTGATATTCTGTTACACACATTCTTGCAAATTTTTAGCTATGGTTTACAAAATAGAAAAGAATTATTCACTGAAAGTTATGTCTTCAATTCTTAATAATGTCACAACAAATTATTTTGAATTCGTAATTTCAATAAAAAATAAACGAGTAACAACCATTTTGATTTTTTACATCATTAGGTTGGTGAGGCATGGATAATAGAAACAATATTATCCAAAAAATGCCTTAAAATTGCCCAATTAAAATTAAAAACAACAACAAAAAGCCCATAACTTGTAAGTGTTAGTAATCACAATCATAATCTCTACTATGCATATACTGTATATTTATATAAACAGTAATGGCAAATTCAAGATTCAAAGCAAAAAGATTTACAATCAAACCTCGTTATAATGGACTCGTTATAACGGATTTTTGTTATTTGATTTTCTCGAAATTGACAATGTGATGCAGAAAGTTGTGACTTGTATTGTACAGTAACGAAATATATGGCTAGAAATATTTACTTTATTATATGGGACAGTAGAAAGGGACCAAACTGATTTTGAATTTCTACTATTGTTTAACAGAAATATTTCAAGCTTTTATCAAATGGACATGGGTTCTAAGCTAAAATTAATCCTTGCGGCAAATTGCATGTAGGGGTGTTTGTTATTAACTCAAAATCGCGGATTTTGGTAGTTTAGTCTCTTTTTATTGTCCATGCACCCACCGCCATATGTAAAAAAACGCGTGTAACATAATTTGCAGAAATCGTCACTCAATTGTTTCTCTGTCAGTTTTTGTTGGAGAGCCTCCCATATATTAAATTCATCCAATAATTATTTATATATCATCGTCATTTTTTTGGTTTTATCGTAATCTCCAAGAAGCTAAGAAACATGAAGAGAAAGGAACCACTGAAGAATGTCAATGGTGTCAATCTGAATTACCAAAAGGTGTTATTAATGTAAATTTTGTGCTAGTTTGCTCAATGAAAAAACTCCTCATGAATATAAAGAGATGAAATGAATGCTGATAGTAATAGTAGCAGTGATAATGAAGTTGACAACGAATGCAATGCTTTATTTAATCTATAATCAATTTTATTTATTATTGTATAATTGCTATGTATTTATTTATTCATTCAATTATTCTTAATTATCAGTTTCAGATTCTAGTTGATCTTCTAATGCCAATTTCTCATATTCTTCCAAATGCCATCCAATGCTTGTTTTATTAATTTTATAATTATAAATCATATGTGCTAAAGATTTAATTAATTCATCGCTAAATTATTTTTAAAAAATATCATTATTACACTTTTAGAAAAAAGAAAATAAATCAAAAAAAAAAAAATAAACAAATAATAATAAATTTAATTTAATTACCTTGCCATATTTTGACACCAAATACAATAATCATCCAAAATAATTTTTGAATAAATATAATAAGTATCATGATGATCAAATAAATATTTTAATTCCAATAATACTTTTAATATTGCTCGCCTACCAAGCTCCAATAATACATAAACATCTTCAAGACATTTTTTTGATAATTCAAAATTTCTATATAATGGATAAGCTAATGTACGATGAAACAATGACAAGATTAATTCTTCAATATTATTAAAAACCTCAAGGCATGATATTGTTGGGCTTATTTTTCCAATTGTCCAAGCTGATTCCACATTATTTTCTCCTTCATTAATTCTATGATTATAGCTATATGCAAATATTAAATCTATTAATCCATAATATATTGATCCAACATTATCAATAAGATCTAATTTAATAATAATAGAAATATTTGTTAATAGTATGTTATTTGAAAATTAAAAATAAAAAGTAGCATTGCTAAGAATATATATGTACATTGTTTATTTGACAGACTTCTCATGATTTTACATTCTTGCTCTGTAAATTCCAAAATTTCATCAATATCAAGATCATCATCCCTTTTTTCCTTGTTACCATCTATTATCTCTCTGATTTTATTTAATTTTTCTAAACTCAATGACCATTTAGTTTTATATTTTATCAAATGTATAAACTCATCAACTTGCATAAAATCAGCTCTAATTCAACAAATAAAAAATATTTAATAATTTTTACTATTAAATATTAATGAAAAATATGATAATAACTTACATATAAATGTCTGGATTAAATTTTGTGTTTTCCGCATTAATTCTATCTCGAAGACGTGACTGAGCTGTTGATCGTTCTGGATCATTGATTTCATTGATTTCATTATAAGTTTCTTTTACATGAGTAAAATAACCTGAATAAAGTCCATTAAATCCATATTTTGCAGTTAACACTAACTCCTAAAATAAATAAAAATGATTTAATACACAATTTCATAAGCATACAAGTGTATATACCATGAATCGAATATCTATAAATTTTCACCTTCTCATCTGGAAATTCTTGTGGCAATTCCCAATCATATTTATCAGCTTTTATATAATAACAATAAAATGGGTAAATGTTTAATATTAATTATCTAATTTAAAATTACTCCACCTAAACCTTAATAATTATAAAAAACTTTATTACTATTATACCATATTCCATAATTTTGAAAAGTTTGTCATCAATAATCTCATTATCAATCTCATTATTACTATTATCCTTGACTCCTTTTTGATGATTTTCTAATGATTCTAAAAAAATTTTTTCTTCATTACTATTGCTATCTTCTCCATTAATATCTTCTCCAATAACTTCTATTAATGGTTTCTCTGATGGTAAATCTTGATTTCTAGCTCTAGGTGCCAATAATTTTGTTAAAAAGTCCAGATCCGGAAAATATTCTCCCGTATTCTCTTTTGCCAGTTTAATTATCACGTCACCATTTGATATATCATATGATGTATGCATTCTATCATCCTCAATTAAATTATTTGAAAAATGAAGTCTATATTTTTATATTTTTCCAAATAGGGAATTGGGTGATTGATTAATCGATACATAAATCGGAAAAACATTTTTTTAATTAATAAATAACAAATTACCGTAAGTAATAAGGTTTTGCATAAAATGAAACATCAGGTCCTTCACAATAAATTTCAATTTCATTCACCTTCGTATTATACAATGAAAGATTTATTTTTCAAGATTATTTAATGAACTAAGTTGTATTATGAAAGTGCTTTTTACCTTTATATAAGGTGTTTTCATTTTAATTGTAATGAAAGTGTCATCTTGCATTACTACAAATACAGGTGTTATCATTTTTTTTTAAAAAAAATTTTAGTTTGTGAAAATTTTTATCGGAAATCGATTCCGGGGCATGATTCCCTGTTTTTTTATTATTAAGCAAACAGGGTCTGATATTCTCACTAGTTATAGTCTACATGTAATAGGATAGTATTATGTAAAAAACAAATTTTAAAAAGAGACTGCGACTTTTGATTTTTTATTTGTGTTGAAATAAATTATTGTTACAAAAATTTTAGTTTTATTATTTAATTACTTGCAAATATAAAGAAAAATATATAATAATGGTGGGGAAAAATAAAAAAAAGGTGAAATGCAATATTAAAAAAAATTTGTCCAATTATAAAAAATATAATCTATAATATTATTAAAAAAGAATATATATTATTGTCTTTTAGCTGTCTGAAATTATTATTATTATAAATTAAAATAAAATATAAAGTAATATTAAAATCAATCGTGAATCTTAACAACAGAATCTGCACCACCGCTTGCTATCCATGGTAATGAAGGATGATAATGAACACATAATACACCTTCATCAGATTTTTTACGATGTGATGAAAATTCTTGAATACATTGACGACTTGAGAAAATATCCCATAAACGAATTGAACAATCATGACCTTTAAAAATGTTGTAAATAAATTAAAAAAATTGGGGGAAAAAATTCATATAATCCTTTTCTATTAATTGATAAATTTTTACCTCCAGATATCAAAACCATTCCTGATGGATCAACGCCAAGTGATGTAACCGAATCCAAGTGTGCAGACATTGAAAAACTACATTTACCTATATAAATATTTATATAATAAAATGAAATCAGTATTTCAATAAATATTATATCATATCTATTATAAAAGTAGATTGATTACCTGTATTAACATCAAAAAATCGAATATATTTATCTTCATGTGCAGAAAAAACTAAAGGCAGTGTAGGATGAGAAATTATACGATTTATTTGTGTTGCTGGTGTATTATCAGAAGTTTCATTACTCTTAAATGTTGTAACACATTGTCCAGTTTCTATGTCAAAAAGCTTAATTATAGAATTCTGGAAAGCAACCACAACTTTTTTCAAATCAGTATTAACAAAATCAATCGAAGTTGGAACTGGTGGACGACCTAATATAAATATAAGTAAAATAAATTTATATGTATATATGATTGTGTGTGTATGAATGTGAATTAATAGACTTAATCAATAAATATTTTTGTCAAAGAACTTACCATCACCATTGACCATTTCGCCATTATTATGACCATAATAATTCCACGAACATTTTAAAGGCGAGCCTACTATCTCTGTATCCCAAATTTTAACAGTTCCATCAGCAGATGCAGAAGCTAGATATTGAGTGGCTTGACGTATAGGAAATAATCTTATGTCCCAAATAGCATCAGTATGGCCAATGTATGTTGTTAAGTTTAATGAAGGATCTGAATAATTTAAATGATAAATTCTTCGGGTTCAGCTAATCCAAATAAAAATAAAATAATAATGAAATTGTAAAAAAGATAATAATGTTGTTAATTACCAACTGGCCCATAAGGTACTATTTTAGATTCAGGTAATTTCCATACACGTATGGTGGAATCCATACTTGCTGAATAGCATTTATGTTGCTCAGATGACATTACAACTGAATTTACTGGCGCTGTGTGTCCTCGATAAGTATGTAACGGATCAATATCGTGATTAGGGACAGGTCTATAATAATAATAAAAATAATAATTTTTAAAAAATAAGAACAAGAACAATGATATATATATCTTATTTCCATAACTCATACTTGTTGATTGCAGGCCCTTTGAGATCCCATAATTTTAAAGTACCGTCGTCTGATCCTGATATAAACATTAATTCTGATTTATGCCACGAAAGACTTCTTATGGTATCAAGGTGACTAATTAAATATTATTTAGAATTAAATAATCATTCAAAACAACAAAAAACAATTTGTTTTTTTTTAAATATTTATTAGATTCACCCTCTTAATGTAAATCTTGGCCTCCACATTTTCCTATCTGTTCCATTTGATTGAAAACCATCAAGCTAAACAAATATATAAAACAAATTGATAAATTGATAAATTGATATGATCAACTATATTTAATCTCCTTTATTTACCTCTGGCTTTGGTAGATTTTCATCATCTTCAACAGAAAATTTCAAACCATCTAGTTGTGGGTCAGAAATATTATTCGCTATGTTTTAAAAAATAAAATCAATAAAACTTTAATTTTAAGTTTAAAAGTGTGTAAATAATTAAAATTCTTTATTACATTGCTTCATTGTATTTTTCCACACTCTTGACAAATCACCGTCTGAAAGTTTAAATTTTTCTTGAAGATCTTTTGTCTTATTATATTAAAAATAAATATGTTAAAATAGTGTATATGTATGTGTCAATCAATTAAATAAAAATAACAACTGTATACCAATTGTTCTTCTTCTTCAGGTTTCATTTCTTTATTTTTCACTGCTTTATTTTTGTTTTTAAGATCATTTAATGTTTTCCAATTATCATCACTTTTTGGATCAACAAAACTTTTACCATTATCATCATCTTTTTGGAATTCTTCGGCCTTTGGACTATAAGATCCTGACTCATTATTATCATCCGAAATTTCTTTTGAAGCTAGATTTGTACGTTGGTATAACCCAGGTGAAAAGGGAATTCGATTTTCATCGTTACTGGCCGTCGATTCACTCCAATTTTTTGATGAAAGGTCATTCATATTTGATTGAGTAAAAAATGCATCTTCTCGATCCGAAGATAATAAATCATCTCTTTGTAAACTTTGGTTATTATTGTATTCCGACCAATTTTTTGATGAATCGCCATAGCTGATATTGTTACTGCCACTACTGCCACTACTATTATTGCTATTATTTTTACTAGATATTGAATAAAATGAACCATCTTTTTGTTGTCCGAGTGAATTAGAACTTATTGGGGAAGGGATTTGATTTTCTAGTGGTGGACTAGAAGAACTAGTTGGTAATATAGGTGAAGTTACTTGTGGTATTGTTGGTGCAGGTCTAGAAGGCCTTATTACAACATTATTTGGCTTTTTTGTTGACATGGTATGATCAATATTAATGTTATTGTTGTTGCCGCTGTTATAATCGTTGTAGGAATCTGTATTTATTCCGAGTAATACTGTGCCACTTCTATTATTCAGCTTCCTTGATGAATTGTTATTATTGTTGTTTCCATCCAAACTTGTCGGACGATTTAAAATTTTATTTATCATAGATCCATTATCCTTTGCAACGTTAGTAAGGTAATTAATCTCTTGTAAACATCTATTATTAAAATAATAAGAATAATAATGTTTTTATAATTGTTTAGTAAAAAAACAACTATAAAATAATCCGAATAATGATAACCAATTCATACTCCTTTAATAGTTCTCGGCTTTTTATACGATTTTTAGGATCTCTAGATAAAGCCAAATTTTTGTATTTTGATGTCTCTGTAGTTAATGGTTCAATTGACGGCGATGATTTCTGTGGAATTGCATTATTATTATTAAGCGTTATAGGTGAATCAGCTTTTTTATTTTGAACAAAGATTTTTGTTTTATAAGGGAAAATAAATTAAATATATTTTTTTTTGGTTAGTTTCAAAATCATTCAACAAGTTTTCAACTTCACCAATTACGAAAACTTACGAAAATTTTCAAATTCGCAACTTACGTCCTTCTTCATTTGCAGGTGTATCTGTTGTAAATGTTTCTTTTGACTGACTATTATTTGTGTTAGATACATATTTACCCCTAAAATAATGATATATCAGGAAAATTTAATACCGTCTTTACATATATATGCATATATTTGATTTTAAGGAGAAAGAAAGTAAATAATAAATATTTATATTTATTATAAATTTAATTATTATGAGAGTGATCATACCTTTCTTTAACTAAAGCATATTCTAACATTTTAATGCGCCTCATTAAATCTGTCTTCATCCTTTCAATTCCTCGACGCTCTCCCTCTAACAACGCAATGCGTGCCTATTTAAATAAAATAAAAAAAACAATAATATATTTTATTCTAATTTTCCAATTCTTATTATTATATGATTAATTAATAACTTTTTTTATGATATGATATTAACACATATACATGTACATATTTTTTTATATACACAAATAAACATAATGGGTCGATAAGATCTTTGTGGGTGTACTTAAGGCTAAATTATTAAAGAAATTACATCCGTCTAATATTCAAAACTTAAAATTCTTTAAAGTTTACTAACCTTCATCTCAGCACGTTCGATCTCCCACTCATTTCTATCACGTTCATAACGTCTCCATTCAACCTGCAAGAAATGGAGTACACCAGGTAAAGTATATTCTGGTGCTTGAGTTTGGTGTTGAACTTGCTGTTGTTGATTAAATGTTTGCGCCATGCCTGCTTAATACAAATATGACTTGTTTGAGAATTAGTGGTTTGAAACTGAATCCCTGTAGCTTTTTTTTTCTCATTCAGATTTGAGCAAGAAATTATAATCGTCACAGTTGTAGAATCCCCTACTTTACTACCGCAGTTTTGTATAACAAAATATTATGCTTTTTTTTTTGTTATACATGCAGATCATTCTGTGTTCATACATTATGGCTGGTACCAGTAAGAATGAGGAATCATTAAAAATACTTGACGCTTTACAAAAATCTCATAACGTAGAATTTGATTACTTTTTTAAAAGTGTTTCTAAAAGAGTAAAATTGATAAATTTAGAATCAATTGAAAAAAACAAATTAGTACTTGAACTTTTATTAAAACCTGAAGATTGCAGTGTTTCAGGAAATATACACGGTGGATTTATTGCCAGTCTAATTGATGTTTGTTCTACGCTTGCAATAATAGTAATTTCAGGTAAACACAGACATATAATACATTCAATATATTCAATACATGTGATATATTAGGAATAATAAACAAATTATTTTATAATTTAGGAAATAAATTTGTAAATGGTGGAGTATCAACAGACATTTCAGTATCATATGTATCGTCGGCTAAATCAGGAGATGCTATGTTGATAGAATGCTTTGTTTATAAGGCTGGTAAAAACTTAGCGAATACTTATACAGTTATTAAGAATAAGGTTAATGATAAGGTTATTGCTATTGGTCAACACACCAAATTCAGTGGTAAAGAGAATTTTTTGATTTTGATTTTGATTTTTTCCCTTCTCAATTTAATTTTAAATTTTATCCTATTATTGTTATTATTATTTAGTTTATTCAAAGTTGTAATAACAAAGATCGTTCAATTCATTGATGCATTATTCATCCATAAATTCATTCAATTATTATTTATTTATTATTTTTCCTAATTTTTTCCAACTCAAGTTGAATATCTTCTTTGGATGTGGGTAATTGTTTCTAATCAAATAATATATTATAAGTTAAATAATAATAAATGAGGAAAAAAAACAATTTTCAAATCTTGAGAATTCCTACTTTTTCGGTTTCTGGCCAAAATTTAATCTTTATAAAAAAAAATAATTTTATTATTTAAAATTTAATAATGATATATTATCGGATATAATAAAATAATCAAATACAAAATTATTTACATTTTTAACATGTTTTTCATAAAATTCAGGTCTACCGAAATAATACATAACGCCTATTGGAAAAAATATATAAATTCCAAACTAAAGATAATTTAAAGATAATTATTATTTATTAATATCTTAATGATAATATAATATAGTGTGATCTTTTTACCTTCACTATTTCTAAATTGGTTCTTGCCATATTTATATTTTGAAAATTAGAATATTTTTTTTGAAAATAATATGAGCCGTCGATTTCACTCAATCTCATTAGTGGTATTTCTATTTATGTCAAGATTTTCGGTAGATCTTGCATATGAGCTTAAAGCTTTTGTTACACGATCTTAAGAATTTAAAAAAAAATGTCTCGAAAAATTTTTTTACATTCATTTTCAAATGTTCGGAGAAAACCTTTGATTATTTCAAGAAAACAAGGTATGGATAGATAGATAGATATGTACACTTGCGATTCGAAGCTTGTAAATTCTTGCAAAATTATGATAATAATTTAATATAATTTTCAAGATCTATTAATTAGATGTATACTCTTTCTCAATAACAGTAAGATTTTTCAGTTCTTCATTACCAACAAGACAAGAAGTTGAAGTTTTTGTTGATGGAAATCCAGTGAAGATAGAACAAGGAAGTGCTGTTATTCAAGCTTGTGAAAAAGCTGGTTATACAATTCCAAGATTTTGTTATCATGAGGTTTAATAAATCCATTTTATTATGAATAAATGAAAATATCAAATTTTTAAATTTAGTTTTTAATAAAAAATTTTTTATTTTTAAACCAATTAGCGATTATCTATAGCTGGTAATTGTAGGATGTGTCTTGTTGAATTGGAAAAATCACCAAAGCCCATTGCTTCTTGTTCAATGCCAGTGATGCCAGGAATGAAGATTCATACAGATACACCGTTAGTTAAAAAGGCTCGTGAAGGGGTGATGGAATTCCTTCTAGCAAATCATCCATTGGATTGCCCAATTTGTGACCAAGGTGGAGAATGTGATCTTCAAGATCAATCTGTGAGATATGGTAGTGATAGAGGTAGATTTCATGAAGTTACAGGAAAAAGAGCAGTAGAAGATAAAGACCTTGGACCTTTAATTAAAACCACCATGACAAGATGTATTCACTGTACTCGTTGTGTAAGATTCTCTAATGAAGTTGCAGGTGTCCCTGACTTAGGAACGAGTGGGAGAGGAAATGATATGCAAATCGGCACATATATTGAGAAAACATTAGATTCGGAGGTTTCAGCAAATATTATAGATTTATGTCCTGTTGGAGCATTGACGGCCAAACCTTATGCATTTTCATATAGACCATGGGAGTTGAAAAGATCAGAATCAATTGATGTTATGGATGCTATTGGGAGTAACATTAGAATTGATTCACGAGGAGTTGAAGTGATGAGGATTTTGCCAAGAATAAATGATCAAGTGAATGAGGAATGGATATCAGATAAAACAAGATTTGCTTTTGATGGTCTTAAAAGACAAAGACTTACTGTGCCACTAATTCGTCAAGGAGATAAGTTTTTAAGTGTTAATTGGGAACAAGCATTGACATATGTAGCTAATAAACTAGACACTATCAAAGGCTCTGAGGCTAGAGCAATTGCAGGAGAACTTGCAGATGCAGAAAGTTTAGTAGCACTTAAAGATTTATTTAATCGATTAGGATCAGATAATTTAACAATTGATACATTAAATGGATCAAAGATTCCCCCTCACGGAATAGATTTTAGATCCAATTATTTATTAAATAGTAAAATTTCAGGGATAGAGAAAGCCGATGTGCTATTGTTAGTTGGAGCAAACCCTCGACATGAAGCACCACTTATTAATACGAGAATATTTAAGAGTTATCTTCATAATGGTTTAGATATTGGGTTAATAGGTGATGCTGTTAATACAACCTACGAGTACGATCATATTGGAGATAATAGTGGCGCATTAGAAAGTATATTAAACGGAGAACATATATTTGCCAAAAGGATAAACGAAGCGCAAAAACCATTAATTATTATTGGAAGTGGCGTTTTAGAACACCCTGATTCAGAATATATATTTTCTATGGTATCAAAAATAGTTGATAAATATTCAAATAAAATATTCCAAAATGATTGGAATGGTTATGGAGTTTTACAAAGGGTTAGTAAAAGACAACTATTTATTCTAATATACATATGTGTGTGTGTGTTTATTATTGGATAATAATAATAATACTTTTTTTTTTTTTAAAAATTTCATATATATATATATATATATATATATATCAGACAGCAAGTTATGCGGCAGCATGTGATATTGGATTTGTTCCATCCAGTTCATCTTCAATAAACAGCAAACCAAAATTTATTTATTTATTGAATGCTGATGAGATTTCACCTGATGATATTCAAAAAGAAGCATTTGTTGTATATCAAGGACATCACGGCGATGTAGGTGCAAATTATGCGGATGTTATTTTACCCGGAGCAGCTTACACAGAAAAGACAGCAACTTATGTTAATACAGAAGGAAGAACACAATTAACACGTGCTGCAGTACCACCTCCAGGAGCAGCAAGAGAAGATTGGAAGGTAAGTAACTTTTGCTTAAAATTTTTATACACACGTACATATATATGGTGATGATGGTTTTGATGATTTTATAAAATAGATTATTCGGGCGTTATCTGAAGTTTCAGGATTTACATTACCATATGACGATTTAGCAAGTTTGAGAGATCGTATGAATGAATTAGCACCACATCTTACACATTACGATATTGTTGAAAATAATAGTAATCCACAACTTGGACTTAAACCATTTTTAAAATCAGAAGCAAAATCAACAGGAGCTATATTCAAGTCCATTATTCAAGATTTTTATATGACGAATAGTATTTCTAGAGCTAGCCAAACAATGGCTAAATGTTCGAGCACCTTTTCTACAAGAAATCAAACAAAAACAGCACAAGCCTTGTCAGCTTAAATAAAATTTGAATTAGTTGGTATGTGATATTACTATTTTGTATTTTTTTATTTATCTAATTCATAATTTAATTCACTTTTTTTAATCTAATTTAATTAAAAAAAACTCAAAATGCATATTATTTCAAGAAGATTTTTTATTTATTTATTATTTTGTCATTAAATAAAAATACATTACTTTATAATTTTTTATCCTACAATGAAGATATTATTTCTAGCATGTTCAGATTTGATGAGTCGTAGACCCGAGACTTTGTTTCTTCCTCACTTACCTCAGTCGAGTCCTTTGGATTCGTTTCCAGTGTAACAGTTTTTATATCACATAAATTAGACTGTTCTGATGAATTATTATCCGAAGACAAATCTTTGGATCTATGCTTCTTTTCCCGATTCCTTTCTCTTATTTCATTACTAATCTGTTCTTTATTTACTCGTTTCAGAAATTCATTTTCTTCTTTCTCTTCCATTGATATGGTTTCCGCGGGAATAGGAGGTGTGGGGGTCACCGATTCCTGGTATATATCAGAATTGCCGGAGGCGGTCACTTTGTGGCTAGATATGTTAGACTCCTCATTATGTGAGACTATCTGTTCATGAGTATCGTTAGAATTTAAAGTGTTATCAGTTATATCAGATATCGGGGTATCAGTGGCATAGCCACGAGTATCTGACTCATCACATTGTGGCACTATCTGTTTAGGAGTATCGTTAGAATTTACTGGAGAGTGCGAAATATCTTCCGTAGAAATACTTTTTTCTTTTTTTCCCTGTTCTAATATAGCGAGTCTGTTCTCAAGCTCTATATTCTTTTGCTCTAGTTCCTCAACTCTAGCATCGCGCTTTGTATTTTCTTCTATAGCTTCACATTCTCAACCTCAAGCTCAGTCTTTTTAACTTCGATCTCAGAATACTTCTTTCTAATTTCAGTATTCTCAGCTATAAGCTTGGAAACCCGTTCTTCTAATGAGGCGACTTTAGATTGAATGTTTGCCATGTCTCATAGAGTTACTTAAGAAGCTCGTTTTTTATATAAAATGCGGATTATTCAAAAGCTTGTTTATTAGTGTAGACAAAAAAAAACAGAAGATATACTAATACGTAAAATAAAAAAAATAAAATTGTCACGCCGATCACTTTTGCCAAGAAAATTCTCATATATACTGTACATATCATCAATAAAAAATATTATTACGCATTAATATATTATGAAATAAAAATATCATGTGAGCGGTTATTCGGCTTATACGTCCCTTTAATACTTCAAATCATTGAATATGTGTCATTGTTTTATTTACACAGTAAAAATGTTGCCGAAACAACTGGTACAAATAATAAAAATCCTAATTATTATAAAAAAAAGATTCGCATTAAAACCATATTTTTATGGGGTTCTGATAGTAGAATCTTCTTCGGAGGAATCATGTTGTTCGGTGGCTGACCTAGATTTCTTTAATAAAATCTGATTGAATTCATGAAGATTTACCAGTATCCCGTTCTAAAGTTAAAATAACCTTAGGAATGGTGTATAGTATTAAAAGACTGATTTTTGGTTTTTCAAAATTTCTTACCCGCAAGATTAATAAGGCATGCACAAATTCTTCAACTTTATCCACAGTTTCGTTATGTAAATGAATCTTGGCTTTTATGATAGGGAGGTAAAACTTTATACCTTTTTCTCGCAACAATCCGTATACATCAACACAGTGGTCATCTAATTATCAAAACACAATTAGACAATAGAATGCTATCTACATTATTGAATGAAATATGTTTTTTTACCTGTAATATTTATACCAAATACAGTCAACCCCCTCTAAGTGCACGCTTTCATTCATTCCCAAGCTCGGGAATTAGATATAAGTGCACACCCCCTTCCCCCTGCACTGCACGGTCTTTTTTCATTCCCATCTATATAAAATTCCCTCTCTAAGTGCACTCCCGTGACTTTCACGTGATAGTTGTCCAATAAAAATCGTGCGACGCTATTAAATTAAAATACTTTTAACAAAAAAAATGGATAAAGAATTGATTTTTTGTAAGAGATGATAAAGAATTAAATTTTATACTTAGCAAATAATAATAAAGAATATAAAGAATTAAATTTATTATTAGTAAAAGGTAAAGAATTAAATTTATTAGTATGACAGAATTATTTTGTAAGAGGTGTTCATTTTTATTAAGTGACAGGGAAATAAAGAATTCTTTTTTTTTAATAGATACAAAGGTTATTAAAACAAAAGTACAAGAATGTAAACAAAGAAGCTTATGTAGTTGAAATTATTATAAATAAGACATGAATCAAGAATTTTATTTAATAACTAAACTCTTGTAATCAACTTTAAAAATAAAACTTCTATTATAAATTAACCTTATCATTAATAAATTAAAAATAATATATATTCTTACATACCCAACTATCTAATTTTTGCACTCACTCATCTCATTAAACATTTTATTCTTTTATTGCTTCTAAATAAAATGCTTCCAAAAAGAGTAATTTTATCTAATTCTCAAAAATATGAATTTTGTTTATTCTAGTCAACAAATAAAACTGGTTAATTCTCTTGATAGATATATTAGTTTGAAACAATAAATACAATGAGGCAAACTACAATAGAATCTTATCTTAATCAATAATTATATAAAATTTTTTTTTAGTGATAATAATGTTATAATTAATTAAAAAATTTTTATTCTTTAATGGAGTCATGTGTAACCAATGAAATGCTTTGTTTCTCTAAGTGCACACCCCCTCTAAGTGCATGCTATCACTCATTCCCAAGGGGGTGCACTTAGAGGGGGTTGACTGTATTTATTGTAATTTTTTACATTAAAATTTAAACTTGGGATTCTAAAGAATATAGAAATATTATGACTAATGGCAAAATGATTTTTACTGTGGCTTTTTTTTCATTACGAATAACAATTTAATACTTTTGATAAATATAAATTCCATCTATTTTCATATGTAATAAAGTGATAATAATAATACACAAAGAATAAAATCAACTTTATAGTAATAACGATATTTGAAAACTGTGGAAATATTTTTAATTACAAATGGGCCATTATTTATTATTATGAGACCAAAATGTAAAATAATAAAATATTTAATATTTATTACATAAAACAATATAATATTATTTCAATGCTATTTCAATATCAGTACTTTACATGTGGAAATAGGTGCTAGTACTATTTGTTTCATAATTTTATGATTATATTTAATGTTGTAATAGATATAGATGTTAGCCGAAATTGCCTCTCTTAATAAATGATCATTGCCGAATCCGAAATGCCAAAATAGTTTCTGAAATTAACTTTATTAGTTGCCAAAATTATATCCAAAATTATTTGGACTCATTAACATAATAGCCGAAATGCTAGGTTGTCTTTTTATG